TTCCGTCACCAAGGATCAGTTTTAATTAGAATTCTATACAAATGGATTTATATAGTATGTAGTCTTGTGCTGGGCTTTGACTCAGCATAAGGATTCTAAGATGCATACGTGTTGCTGCATGTTTCAGTGGTTTGTTCATTCGATGGTGAGTAGTGTCCACTGTATGGGCATTTCACAGTTTCTCTGTTTGCTTGTTGATGGACATTTGGGTTGATTCTAGTCCGTGCCTATTATGAATAAAGCTGCTATGATCACTCTTGCTCAGAGCATCTTCTTGCAGATGTGTTTTCATTTCTTTGAGACAAATCAGAGTAGAATATGCCTGGGTCATATGGTAAGGTATGTTTAACTTATCAAGTCACTACTTTTCACCCAAGTGGTTATGCCAATTGACATTCGTACTAGCAGCAGTGTGTGCGTTCCCAGTCTTTTTTATTTCGGCCATTCTAGAAGGTGAGGTGTGCTGTCTCTTAGTGGTTTAGATTTGCATTTCCCAAAGGATGCTGAACATCTTTTCAGGTTCTTTTTGGCCATTGTAGTTCCTCTCTTGTGAAGTGTTTGTTCAAATCTTTGGCCATTTTTTAAAAATCCATTTGTCTCTTTATCATTGAGCTGAAGAATTTCTTGTATATTCTGGATACAAGTCCTTTTTATATACCATGTGGATATTTTCTCCTAGTCTGTGGGTTGCTTTTTTATTTTTATAGTGGTCTTTTAGAGACCAGAAGTCTTGATTTTTGTGAAGTCCTAATCATTTTTTTCTTTTCTAGGTAGTATCTTTTTGTGTGTTCTAAGTAGTTTTAGCATTTCTCTTATTCTGATTAAGGTTGAGTACCTTTTCTTATGTTTAAAGGCCACCTGCCTAGCTTTTTCTGAGAACTATGTCTTTGGCCTGCTTTTTAAAAATCAGTTTATTGATCTTTCTCTTCTGTATTTTTTAATTTATTTGTAAGGGAGATTAGCCTTTTATGGAATGTTACAATGTTTTCTTCCGGTTTGCTGTTTGTCTTTTCGACTTTGCTTATAGGTTTTTCCGTGCAAAATTGCAAGTATGTTTCAACATAATCCGATGTATGTTTTTATTACTTATAGATTTTAGGTCTAAGGCTTCCCACTCCTGTATTATAAAGGAATTCACCCATGTTTACATCTAGTATTTGTATGGTTTCATTTTTTTACATTTATATCTCTGTTCCATTTGGAGTTGATTCTGATGTACAGTGTCAGGCATGGAATCACTTTTATCTTTTTTTGCAAATGACTATCCAGTTGTTCCCATATCATCTATATTAAAAAGTCCATTTTTTTTTTAATGATTTAAGGCCATTCACCAGATCTTTATCATGAAAATACTAAATTTCCATGTGTACTTGGACATTCTATTTTATGCTGTTTCTGGACTCATTTTGTTCCACTGGCCCATCTGTGCTCAAGGCGGACACAACTCTAATTATAGACCTTATGACATGTTTAAACATATAATAGGGGAACCTCTTCATTGCCCTTCTTTTCAAAGATTTCCTTATTCTTATTTTTCCACATAAACTTTAGAACCAGCTTGTCTCGCTCCAGAAAAGATAGATTTCTTTAAATTGAGCTTGTTAAATTTATATATTAACTTGGGAAAAGTTGACATCTTGATTGAAGTTGAATCATCCTATGCAAAATCTTGATTGAAGTTGAATCATCCTATGCAAAAACAAGAGGCGTTTCCCCATTCTTTTCGTAAGATTCTTGTGAGGCTGTTGCAATACTGTTTTGAAGAGAATTTTTTATATATTGTGCATTTCATGTTAGTTCTATTCCCTAGTAATTTATCTTCATTGTTTTCATAATGGTTTCTTCCCTTTCATTACATTTTCCAACTGGATGTTGTTTGTATATAGGAAGGCTACAATTTGTTGTTTTATATCTTCTATTTTACCAGATGCTCTTTATTGTTTGTATTCATCTTAGCATTTATTTTCTTGGGTTTTCTAGGTTTACTTGTGTATCATCTACAAAAAGATGATCTCTTCCTTAGGGTACAAATACATTTAAAGTTTTGTACTGCATATTCTCAAGTCTCTTCTTTTAAAAAATATGGTACCAATTTATACTTATACTTCTCCTGGAAGTGTTTCTTTATACCCTTGCCAACAGTTAGCATTAACATTTTTAAAAAATCATTGCCAATTTAATACAACCTCCATTCTGGGCCTTCTCCACCAGGTGCTATGCAGACTGATCTCAGACCCCTCTGGGAGTCTATGGTCTGGATGAGGCTTAAGTCCCCACCCCCACCCCCCACCCGCCCAACTTTATTTAGGGATAATTGTATAATAAAAATTGTATATATTTAGGTTGTACAACATGACGTACATCTACACATTGTGAAATGATTACCACAATCAAATTAACACATCCATCACCTCAGTGACTTGTGCGGTGAGAACATTTCAGATATACTCTCTTGTCAAATTCAAAGCATACAATACAGTATTAAACTATAGGCATCATGTTGTACATTAGATTCCCAGAACTTATCCCTCTTATTAACTGAAAGTTTGTGCCCTTTGACCTCCATTCCTCCACTTCCTGCAGGCCCTGGCAACCACACATCTACTCTCTGGTTCCGTGAGTTCAGCTTTTTAGATTACATGTGTGAGATCGTAAGTGTTTGTTGAGGCTTTAGTTTCTGGAGATTAAAATGAAGACTGTTGCTGCCTTCCTGTGCCTAGCTGCTGGGAAAAGGACTTGCTGCCCTAGTGGAGAAACCCATCTCAGGCCCAGGGAACTTGTTCTAAAAAATCCCCATGCAGCTATGTAAAATTCATCCTCCCTCTCCTTTCTGTAGAGTCTCCTCATAATAAGCTCTTTGGGTGTCTTACTTGATCCCCTACACAGCCTGGGCAGTGCCAGCAGCAAGAGGCAGAGCCAGGCTCCTTCTCAGATGCCCATATTCAGGCCAGCTCTCTCTTCCCCACATCTGAGACCCAATATACTAGATGATAAAATAGATGGCGGCTCCTGCTTTCCCATAAAGCCCTGCTCTGGGCTCGGCCCCCCAGCATCCTGTGAACAAACCCATCTGCCCATTTGCAGACGGCATTGCTCATTGACATGGACTTTTCCACGCCCTGGCTGGTAGTGGTTTCCCAGGAGGCTGGGTAGGAGGTCATAGAGCCCCCCACTCACCGGGCTCACCCCCCTCATTTTCCTTCCTCTTGGCCTGGTAGGGCCCCCGCCAAGGCCTCCGCCTTCACAGAGCCCACCCCAGCCTTGAGGGCAGTCCAGGCAGTCCTTTTTGATCACATAACCTTTCCCCTGTGCTCCCAGCCCTGCACCTTGCTATGCAATCCTAGACAGGCTGCCTCACCTCTGAGCTGGTTCCCATCTGCACCTCACAGGCTCTTATAGGGAGTTAAGGAAGGAGTATTTGCACCAGGCATGTACAACTCGTGGTACAGGAAGGGGGCTCCATAAATGTGTTTATTGAATGACACAGTGAAAGAATGAATTCCGCTGGTGAACCCTCTGGTGGTTCGTTCCCCTGTTCAGATGGTCAGAACTGAAGGCTCATCGGGCCCAGGGGTTCCTAAGTGAAGCTTTCTTTCGAAATGCAGCCACCGCACATCTTACTGCTGAATCCTGCCCCCGGCTGCAGGCCCAAGGAGTCTACTTGAAGCTATGCTGAGGATGAGCCGGGTAGTGAGCTGGGCCCAAAGTAGAGCAGGGCCTGCCTGGCCACTCAGGTTACTGGACCCCAGAACTTGCTCCTCCACAGCCCATGTTGGCATTGCAATCTCACCCCCAGTGTCCTCGGACAGTAGGGTGTAAGTAGAAATGGGGATGTGTATTTGAGAGGCATGCCCCCCCAGCCCTCGCTGGCTCAGGCTGCTGGGTCCTAAGGAGAGGAAATTTCCTTCTCTGTTTTCTACATCCTTGACTTTGAAAGTCAAACTGGTGCTGATATTTACCTTGGCCAGGCCTCTTCGTCTCCCCGGGGCCAGCCTCGTGTAAACACTATGTTCCTTCTCTCAGCTAGCATTGAGGTGGCCTTTTGCAACCAATTCTAGGAATTTTGAAGGTCTGAAGGCGTAAGTTCAGGGGCCAGCCTCCCAGGGGGTCCAGGGTACAAAGAGTCGGGGGGCCTCTGTGCTGGCCACAGAGAAAGAACTGGCCTATGGGGCCTCCCCTCACTTTCATTCCTATGGAGGTTCCTATTTTCTCCATATTCACATCCCCTCCCCCACACGCCAGACTCTTTAAAAAGTCTCAGGTTCCCCAAGACACATACACTGAGGGACAGAGGCAGGATCTGGCCATCTCCACTGTCCTGCAGTAGGTGCCCCCTGGGGCTGGTGGGGAGGGACTCACTCTCCAGGGGCAGCCTGCTCGTTAACGTTTGTCTGGGTATGTGGTTTTTAGTCCATTTGGCACCAGGACCACAGTTCACATGGGTGATGGAGCAGGCCGTCCAGGGTGGGAGCCTGTGGAGGCAGGAAGTGTGTGCGTGGGCCATCTGGACCCCATTCAGCAAGTGCACAGCCCAAGTCCCTGCCTGCAGGGAGTTCACCTTCCAGAGGACAGATGGACAATAAGAAGGCCGTTAAAAGAAAGAAGATGATCTGGGGACATGGTCAGGGCCACAGAAACAAGAGTGAGCAGGGACTGACTGGGGTAGGGATGGCCACTCTGCTGTGGACCCCGGAGAACTGAGGAGGCGTTCACACTCCCTGGGGCCAAATTCCAGCTCTCCGCACTGACTCAGCCACGGGCAGGCTCACTTACCAGAGAGACACTGGGCAAGTAACTTCACTTCTCTGAAACTCGGTTTCATTATATAAGAAATGGAGGTGTCAATCCCTTAGTGACAAGGCACTTGTGAAGCACAGCGTGTCACATGTAAGTGGGAGCCATTCTTCCTTCTGCTTGTCATCACAATGGTACAGCTTTGAACATCAGTGGGCCTCACTGGGCCACAACCAATGCTGAATGTCTCCCCCGTCTCCACGCAGATCTGGGACATGAGTGACGACGAGACCGTCTGACACGGCTCATCCTCGCGTGGCCAGCTTCTCCCCGCTGAGGCGCTCGGTGGCCAGAGTGACTGCAGCCTCAGGATTGGTGACTCTGGGCTCTGTGCCCCTCCAACTTTTCTGGTCCTTTCCTGTCCATACCTTGAGGACTGGGGCCCTCCCTCTGCGGCCCAGGAGCCTCTGGTGTTCTCCATGTCTCATGATTCCTCATCTCACCAGTTCTGAGCTAAATAATAACCTTGGTAATGCCACCAATCTGGGCCTTGGTTCCCTCCATGAGCAGTTCTTTGTTGTTGTCACAGTGTTTGATAGTCAAGCTCCCAGGATCCTTTCTGCCTTGGCCCCCATGAGGTGACGACAATGAGGACTGGGAGGAGTTGGCCCAACAGACTAAAAGGGCAAGTGAGAGAAACCAGCTCAGCTGACACCACCCTCCCACAGCCAAGTGGGGGCTGCTTCCTCGTTGGTGCCTTGGAAGCCCTCAGTCCAGTGTGGGGTGGCTGTCTCTATGTGTGTGCCTCAGTCTATGTCCAGGTGTCCGACAGGCACAAGGTGGTTCAGATGGGCTCAGGTGTGTATCACTCAGGCTTGGACCAAGTTTTTATCATCCCGGGTTTGCACATCTGTGACACCCACGGAGGTGGGTATGGAAACCCCGGAGAGAGGAGGTACCCTCTCCACACGCCTTTTATCCTTGTGGTGTCATCTTTAGTCTCATGCCTGGAACCAAAGTCAAAATGGAGTCTGAGACTGACTCTTACCAGAGTAGGATTTCTGTAGGTTAGGTTTTAAATGATGCTTCTTGGAGTTAAATTATAATTTTCCAGCCCATGTGGGGCTTAAATAGGGGAACCTTGGTAGACAGGTACAGGGCCACCGAGCACCCCACCCCCAGGCCTCACATCAAAGGCCCTGGCACTCCAGGACCCAAGGATCACACATATAGTCCGTGGTTTAAGAGCACTTTATTATTGTTCTTAAGGCTACTTTTAAGTACAAAAAAAAGATGGCCTGCCAAACCTTTTTTTTTTCTTCTTCTTCCAGGAAAAACAGGCCACAGAGAATGGTATATTACAGATTTACAGACGTGGAGAGAACGGTCAGAACACACTGCAGATGGCGTGGCTCTGTGAAGAACCTCGCTGTGCTCCTCCTGATGCGGGGAGTGTGTTCCCCTCCCGGTCACATGTTTGCTTTTCTGGGTCCCTGTCTGCCCGAGGCCCCCTCTAGGTACTGCCTATCCCAGATAGGTCAGTGCACCAGGGACCCGGCTGTCAGAGCCGTTGACCCCTCCCAAAGCGATGGCCTCATTCACTGACAGAGCCGTCTGAGGAGCTGTTCTTCACAGAGCCCACCGCAGTGGGGTTGTTTTCCTGTGGCGACGCTCAGTAGCCTGTAGCAATAACAAACTAGTGGCTATTAAGGCAGATGCAGTGTTCTCATAGAATAACTGTGTTCCTGCACTTTTACAGACAAATCTACGACAAAAAAAAGATCAACTTTTTTTTCCAAACAAAAAAATATGAATGATTACAATAGGAAAGGGAAAAATTAAATAGCTACATATCATTAACAAATTAATTGTTCTTCAAAAAATACCTACAAATTTCTCTGTACATTCTTTACGCACAGCGTAATGATGGTCTTAAAGTTACCTATATAAAAAAAGTGTTCTCAACGATTCTTCCTACAGAAAATATAGGGGCCTGAATGCGGAAGCCTGGAAGCCCAGTTAAGTGGGAGTGAAATGTGTGCAGGGGCGAGAGGAGAGGGGCTTTGCTTCCACCTTTTCAAAGACCTGCAGCCACCCCGTGACCACAGCAAGAGCCAATCCTCCGACACTTCCACCTGGTGCCAATTTTCAAAATGAACCAGCTAACCTGTATTTTACTCATACTGAAAACCAGCCTCAACGGTTCCCATGAGTCCATAATGCCTTGCAAGTGAGGTGGTCATGTCACCTGGCCAGGCGACTTCTTAAGCTCTCTAGTGGGTGAGGCTGGAATGTAGCCCGGCGGAGGGGCAGGGGAATAAACACGTGCATTTTCCAAAAAAGAGCAGCTGTTGAACATCCACAGCTGTGTCTCATGCTTTTTTCTTCACCTAATTTCTAGTTAGTAGCTATTACTATGGCAAATGATAAATGCAGTAATAACTGTATAAAGTCAGAGGAATGTATACTGCCTTGGCCCCAGCGTATGAGGAAGCATACAAAATACCATATCACAGATTGTCAGTAATCTGTTCAGCCAAGAGAGTTAAAGGGAACAGTTTCTGCATGGAGGGAAGTTGGAAGACACAAATCCCAACTCCCCAGGGAGCTAGTAAGAAGCAGACAGGGATGCAAAAAATAAATGATGCTGTCAGCCTGCAGCAAAAACTCCAGCATCCTACACCATGGCTGCCCGATGATGACTCGACCGCCCGTCTACGGGGCCTGCCAGGGGCCAGCTGGCCACATACTACTTGGGAGTAACATGAATATCAAATACAAATCTTAGAGTATAACTGTACCAGCAGTAAGTATATCTAGGACTGTAACTGACAAAAATAAACTAATTCTGAACAGAAGCTAGCAAGTATTAAGGTTTGTGTTTACTGTCTATACACAATTAATAGAAACCAGCTATTTTTCTCCATTTAAAACATGCATTACGTTTAAAGCACTACGGAACCTCCAACCTCAGCTCTAGTCTAACAAACTGCAGTGTTTAGAAAAAGTAAAATGCCCGTGATTGGTAGAGTCTGCAGTCCAGTTGCAAGCACCTGAAATCTAGAGAAAGACCTATAACCTGTATGAGACTTCCCCTTCCAAAGCTGTTTCGTCTAAAATTAAACAACAAAAACACAAATGGTCAGAAAGGTCATCCTTAAACCCTTTGTTTTTCAGCAGTTTGCCCTCAGAGTACTAGCATCTCACATAAAGTTGTCAGGCGGGCAACCCTAGTCCTCCTCCAATAGTGCAAATCAGACACAACAGTTCTCTTCAAGTAGACGCACGCACACACACAGGCGCACACATGCTGGCTGGACCGAACAAGCCACGGAAGCTAAGCCACACTCACCCTGGTCTCGAGAAGCAAATGGAAAAGCACAAATCGTCTGGGTCACCGATGTCATGGCTTGTGACTGAGAAAGCGCGCGCCATGGCGTCCTGGCCCCGTGGGGGCAGCAGACCTGCGTCAGAGGTTTCTTTGGTAACTGAGGCAGGAAGTCAGGGTGCTACATCAGACAGCTGTTCCACATGCTATCGTGTTTGAGGGCCCTGGCGTACGAATACCAAGCAAGTACAAAAACAGAACAAAAATCCCAACGATGCGGTTTTTGCGAATAAACCATCCCTCCCTTCCCACCCCCACAAATTTTTTTGTTTTTCTGTTTTTCTTTTTTTGTTTTTTTGTGTTTTTTTTTTTAAGCACTGACTGTTCAAAGCTCAGGCAAACCATGCAGATCGACGTCTTGTTCGAGGGCGGTGCTCCCTTCAGGAGACCACTGAGGGGGAGTGACTGTGGCTGACCATGTGGGCAGAGGGGCTGGCGGGCTGGCCCCTGCGTGAGGCAGACTCGGGGCTGCTGGATGCGCCGTCCTTGGCCGCCTTGATCTGAAGCCATGTATCTCCCAGGGCTTTGGCAAAGTGGTCGTCCACGGAGCCCGTGATGGACACTGAGTTGGGCGCCGGCTCAGGCTCCTTGTAGTTCTTGCCCAAGCTCCTGCGGAAATGCTCCTCCACCACAGGGTCACAGGTGGTGGTGGCTGTGGGGGAGCAGGACAGCGGTCAGGGCTAGGATCTGGGGACAGAGGGCCCACCTCCATCCAGCTGAGCTGGGCACTTGGGTGGGTTACATTTCTGAACCTGTAACCTGGCAGCAAGCCTGCTGCCCTGGGTTCAGAGAGAACGTGGCATTAAGTGATGGTAGAGCCCGCCGTTCCCCAACCAGAGAGAGATCCTGGAGGTCAGGGCCAGTGTGTTTCTTCCCCCTTCCCACCCAAGCCAGGCACAATGCGAGGTGCACATGTGCTCAAAAAACCCCACTCAGCCTCCATTAGAAAGAAGCTCCAGGGGCTAGATGTTCCCACCTACAGCATGAGATAGAAGGAAGCAAACTCCACTTGAAGTTACGTTGACTGAGGAAGCCCAAGCCCGCCTGGCTGTCCCCGGCCCCAGGGAAACTTACAGCTGGGGGCCCTCCGGTAGCTGGCCGGCCCCGCCACGCAGCCACTGTGCGCAATAGGGCAGTGGGAGAGGTTGCAGTTGCGGGCGCTGGCGGAGGCGCAGGTGATCACCGAAGGCCGGTTCTGGGGAGAGGAGGGGACTGGCATCAGCTCGGGCTTGTGAAGACAGACGAAAGTTCTGCCTCCCAAGCCAGTGACCCTGGTCCTTAGATACCTGCCACAGCTGAGGCAGGTCAACCACCTCCATGCCCTTCCCACGCCACGGCCTGGCACGCCTCCTGCCCAGAGAGGTAAGTGTCACCAGACATCTCAGCACCCAAATCCCCCATCTGTCGGACCCCAGTTCCTTCACGTAGGGCCCTTACCTGCACCCTCCACCACTCTGCTGTGAGCCCATCCTGGAGCCCCTCTTGACCGAAGGCAAATTAAAATCCAGCTCATCACCACCTCCTACTTTAAAACTGGAGTCAAATTGCTAAAGGACAGCAGCGAATCCAGAATGAGGGAGCCCCCACAGCTCCTGCAGCCCCCAGAATGGTGGTTCTGCCTTCTCAGTATGTCCCACTGTGCCCCAGGGGTCCTGTGAGTGATCCCAGTACCCTTCCAACATACACTCGGTTTCTGCTAACGCCAAAGCCACCTCATACAAATGATGGAGATGGAAATGCAGGAAATAAATGTGAGCATGTGAATTACATGACTACCACCCCTTGCCCAAACTGTCTGCCAACTCTTACCTTCCCCATAAGCACAACACTGCTTGGCAAATTCCAATCTTCCTTTAAAACCCTTTCCAAATACCATCTCTGTGAAGCCTTTTATGACCCATCCTCTCCCCCGATTCAGCATGTAAAACAGCCCTTCCAGGAGCATCAGTAAGACACCACCACCTGCATCCTCCTCTAGACCGTGCACACCTCAGAGCAGGGACCAGAGTGTGCTTCTGGATCCCCAGACCCTGGTGCAGCACCCAGGCCAGAAAATATCCGTTAACCAAACTGAGCTTCCTCACATCCCAGCCAGGAAAAGTATCTCCTGCTAGCCCCGAGGACAAGACAGACAAGTACTTGCGCTGAGTTTCAAGGCAACAAGTGAAGAGCTGGTTGAAGGGTCACCCCAAATGGCCCAATGACAAGAGCAGTGTCGACAGGGAACTCAGGCTTGTCCACTCGGCCTTTCCTTATAAACCTGCCCATGATAGGAAATGAACAGGAATGGCAAAATACGTTCTGTGATAAAGATCTGGATCTAGTAGGATGAACTAGGCTTGAATATAAGAGCTTAGGCTTGGGTCTAACAAGAAATCACACCTTCAAGATGGGCAGATGTGGCTTAGCCTCAACATAAGAAAGAAGAATTCAGAGGTTTAGTAATAATGCAACACATCGGCAATGGGATGGGGCCGCCCGAGGAGCTGTGATACTCTGTGTGGACAACAATGGCATAGGAAGTGCGGTGTTGAGGCCAGGTAGGCCTAGGGTGACACTTTCCACCCACTGGGCAGGACCTCAGGGAAAGGCCTACGCCACGCTAAACTTTGTTCAAGTGTGAAATAGGGAGAGGGGGCTGGAGGATCTGGGTTGAGAGGTGTGAGAGCCTGGCCCCTGGTCGCATATAAGAGCCCTGCTCATCAGGTGGTGCTCATGCCACACCTGGAGGACAGCCTGCAGCGTGGAGCCCACCTCCTGAAGGGTCTATTTAGTCCCTGAGCCCACGATCTCCTCTCTTCAGAACGTGCCATCCATTCACGAGGTGGGACTAAGGCAGCTATGTTCATACGTGACCTTGGCGAGGCTGGAAATCTGACCCTGGGGGCCAACTATTAACCCAGACTCAGTAAGAGATTCAAATTGATCTCAAGGGCTGTGGGACAGCCATGCCAAGCTGGCCATGTGGGTCTCAAAACAGAGAGAGGAGAGGATGAGAGACCCAGACAAGCACAGAGCTAAGGGAGGAAGGAGAATCCTGTGTCTTCTCCAGCTCTCCCAGGCAAGGGCCAGCCCTTTCCTCCTAAGTCTGGCCACGCCCATGACACTCCCAATAAAACTCTCTTCCTTTTGTGCTTAAAGCAGCTCAGGTTGGTTTCTGTTCCTTGCAACCCTGACCGACTCAAATATCAAAGTGGGGATGTATCTGTGGAAGGGGTCATGGGAGTTGAAGAAGTGCGAAGTGTCACAGAATGGATTTAGGGAAGCTTAGACTGAAGAGTAAGGTCAACATCCAGCCTTTATGTCAGCGCTCTCCAAAGGCAGGAAGGGAAAGGCCACTCCAGGGGAGAACGTGGCCCCCTCATAGCGTGGGTCCCAGCAGGGCAGGACGACCAATCAGCATGGGGATGCTGTGAAGAGATTATAACTGCACCCCAATATTGAATCATCTCTGAGACACTTCCTGACCTGACCTGAGGTGAAGTGCCTACCTGCAAATGTGCAAATGGTCAGTTGCCTGGGACACACAAACCACCTTCCTCTTCCAAGCTCAGCTTCCAGCCTCTCACCCCAACTCTGGCTGAGCACAAGCTGGGCTTTGGCACCACATACCCACCTGGAACAGGCCTCATGTTCCCAGATGGCGGGTGGTTATGAGCCCACGTGGCCTAACACCCCTCCCCGCAAAACCACAATTTTCCAGATGGGAAAAATGAAGGCCAGAGACAGGTAACCTGCTGGAGGTTACACAGCAAATTAGCAGCAGGGCCTGGATGAGAATGTGTCACTCAACCTCCACTCACCCCTTCCCCCACCCACTCTGGCTCCCCTAGGAAAAGAACACCCATATGAAAATAGCCCACTGTTCACTGTCCCTTGGGTTCTAATATTAATCTCCTCCTGTCTCTCCCTGTTTGCTGCTGCCGTCGAGGCCACCTTCTTAGTAACTTTTGTATCTTTCTTTAGAACACTCTATACGCTCAGAGCTGCTATCACCGAAACATAAAGTGGGGTGACTCTGTCTGCAGCCTCTCCAGACATGCTTCTCTGGGAACTTTGCTGTCCCAGTTCCCAGCGTTCTGAGTCACATTTTCCACCACACAGAGGAAGACTTCCACTACCAGCCCGCGCAGGCCGTTCTGCCTGCCTGCCACATGGCGCTCCACTATTGCTTCAGGAAGCCCCCTCCCCGCCGTCATTTCCCTTGCTCAGGTCATTTCCCTTGCTCAGAGCTGCAGGGTGACGTGCACATTTCCCCACAATAGCCGCCCTCACAGCTCACAAATGAAACAGAACTCCCAGAAATAAATAGGTGGATGCCTCTGAGCTGCTGAAGAACAGGGACTGTGTCACTCATCTGTGTCCTCAGCATAGCACTTGGCAAAGAAGCTCAGGTTGTTATGGCAGAAGCTCAGGTTATTATGGCAGACCGTCCAGGCCACGCCACGCTGACACGGGAAGGAGGTCAATGAACAGTTACTATGTGAATGACCCGGGGTCAAGGTGGAAGGGCAGGCTGATAACCTCTTCACCACCAATCCCAACCCTGAATTAAAGCTTAGGTCAGTGGCCACCATACTGGGGAACCCAGAGCCACTGTGCCCATCCCAGGCAAACTGTCGGCTTGTTCCATGGCCACAGGCCAGTAATGCCAAAAGAACCCAGGAATTCAAGATTCTCACTCGTAGAAAACCTGCTCACCAGCCCCACGGGACATCGGATGGGCAGGGATGCTCTGCTGGAGTGGGCGGCCAGGCACATTTTAGGATAGGGTTAGGGAGACCATGGTAAGGACGGCCAGGTCCCTGTCCAGTGGAACACTTTTCACAAAGTAACTGTGATCAAAAACCAACCAGAGGATCCTCAAAAGCCTTCACAGAAGCTAAAGGCTAGGAAGGGCCTACTGAGGGCCTACCTGTTCTCCCCCCACCCGGGCTCAGCGATGACACTTCCCAGTGTCTTGACCTACAGTAGCCAGAGGGCTGAATTCCCTGCGACCTAGAAATAAACTCTTTTTATGCTTATATCACCTCCACCGTGACCCCTGTCACCCTAGAGGATTGTCCTCATCTCACACATCCATTTCTCTGACTGGACTGCGAGTTCCTTCCGGGCTAGATAAGTGTCCTGCATACCTCTCTCTCTCTCTCCAGAGCTTTACAGAGTGGCCGGGGCATGGTCAGCACTAGCAAATGTTCAATAAATGAATGGCGATGATCACTCAGCCCCCTATTCTTACTAGAGTAAGTGGCCATTTATCAGTAGTTAAAATACCATAGTTTAGTCATTTGATTACCTGTCTCCTCCAGGTTCAAACTGTGAGTTCCCCTATCTTGCTTGACTGGTTTCCAGCTTACTCCTTTGCACACAGTTGGTGTCTGCTAGTTTCGTTAAATGAATAAACAGGATCGTGATGTCTGACTCCCAGGTGGGAAGCACAAATGCTCATCAGCCTTTTTGGAAGTCACAGGCACCAGTACAACCTCTCCCAACACGAGGGGCCTGCCCACAGTCATCACGGGCCAGACCAGAATGTGCCGGGCACTGCTGGCTGGGCTGGGGTGCGGCTGGGCCAGGTGGAGCAGCTGTCAGAAGCCTGGCATCAGGCAGTGAGATGAGAGTGTCAGTGGCGTACTGGGGGATGCGCTGGGGAGAGCAGAAGCTGAGCCCTCTCCTCCTGATGCACACAGCACCTCCTCTGCCCACTGTCCATCCGTCTGAAGTAAACAGTAAGGACCTGTTAGGTCACAGGCTCCAGAGACTTGGAGAAAAAAAGCCATGAGCTCATTCAGTGATTCCAAACCTCAACACTAATGCCTCCTTTTATTATACATTTCCCCAGAAACCCCATTTTAAAAGATTTTTTGCTACCAAGCAAACTGTCTCTATTAAGTAACAACTTAATTTTCTTATTTTCCTTGAATAAAAAACATCCTTATCTGCCAATCACAGGTTTCTGAACAGAATGAGCCAATAACCACTGTGACCACTGACTATAGCATTCCAGCCCAAAGCAAAGCAATCTGACGTTTAATCCTGTCCACGTGACCTTACAACGGGTAAATGTAGGATTGCCATTGGGGTCGTTACCCTGACCTCAATAGAAACAGCACTGCCAAAGAAGACTTCCAAAAACGCACCTATCCAGACTAACCCTGCGGGTGCAAAGAAACTAAACCCCGAAGATACTAAACATCTTGTCCATGGCCTTTAGTCCTAAGAGGTAAGGCCCAGGCAGGTCTAGGTGGGAATTAAAATGTGTGGAATTTGGCAAAAGGATCCCTGCTGCTGCTGCTGCTGCCAGCGCCACTTCCTTGTCCCAAGTGCAGAGCAAAGGCTCTGGAGTTACTCACCATCTCTCTCACTGCTTCCCTCATGGCCTCTGCTCGGTGCCCTCCACCCAGCCCACAGGCCCCGAGCCCCAGACCCACTACTGGCCACTAGCCCAAACCCTACTGGACAAACATACCTGCTGCCGCTCCACCGGTGTCAGTGTGGGTGAGATGCCTGATGGCCTGCTAGCGTCCATGCTGTTCTTGGTCAGTGCAAGGGGCTGCTCCATGCTGAGGCTCGGGAGGGATGTGTACAGGTGGTTGCCATGCAGGCTCATGGTGGGGGCCACGGCCCGCTCAATAGGGCTGCGGCTCCGCTCCCGGGGGTCTTTCCGGCAGTCCCCATTGGCTGTCTTGTTCCTGAAAAGAGGAATCAACACTCAGATGGGACTGCCTGGCATCCTACAAATGGTGAAGGGGATACGGACCACGTGCCAAGCACTTCACAGGGACTATTTTGTTTAATTCTTCACCTTGCTGTGGATAAATATTATATAGTAATGACCCCCACTTTCTGAGGTTCACGTCAACTAGCTCGCCAACCTATGGTAAGCTGAGCCAGGATGCTAACCTATGTCAGTGTGACTGCAAAGACCCTCGGTGCTGGAGGAAGCACCTTCACCAGGCTGCTGAGCACCTCCTACAATAAAGTCCCCTTGCTCAGAGCCTAGAGAACTAACCTAGGTGCTCAAGGCCAGCTTCGTTGGACAAGGACCTGCCATTTAGAAGGATGAAGATGATGATGACCCAAAGTAAATAAATGCTTCTATGTACTGGGGCCCTAATCCAAGACTCCACCGGCATTAGCTCACTTGATCGTCCCAGCAGCACTAACAGAGAGATGTCATACAACTCCCTTATCAAATGATGGAACCAAGACATAGCAATTGTGTCACTGGCCAAGAAGCGGGGTGTTTGCTCTGGCGCATGGTGTGTACATGCTCAGGCTTATCTAGAGAGCGGAGAGCCAGCGTATAGCTCCTCCATCCAGAATACACCAAGCCAGAGTCATCTGCTTTAGTAAAGTCTGTCGACTGGCACTCTGTTGTATGCTCAGCACCTGGCAGGGACTGTGTGGAACGCCATCCCACCTCCCAATCTGATGGGTCTAGTCTAAGGCAACACTGTACATTGCATATCTTAGAGGATGACACAGCTCAGGTTGTGGTAAGGCGTGACTGACAGAAGACCATGAACGCTGTTAGGGGCTTGGCCCAGGTCCCTCCTTCTCCCGTTTATTATTCCAGGAATTCTTTCTGCCTTGAGTCTCAGCACCTCATATCTACCACGTCCTCCTGCTGTCAGAGCATTCTTTTTTCCTAAGAAATGAGCAAGTCTTTTAACTAAAAATGTGGTAGATAACGATTTCAGTGACTTTTCTTTGAGAAATGCAAGTTATTCTGAGTTCACAAGCAGTCGTCCTCTTGCTTCAGCGGACAACCTATTTCATAAGAGAGAAGCCTGAGCACATGTGCTAAGAAACCCAGAGAAAGCAGCAGCACAGGCTAGTGTTTCAAAAGACTGAATGTGATCAAATATAACTTAGCATTTTATATACACACGCACACACACGTGAGAGAGAGGGCGGGAGAGAGGCATGCCTTTTTAAAGTGTAGATTCACATGCAGTTGTAAGGAACAGATCCCATGTATCCTTTACTCAATTTACCCCAACGGTGACATCTTATAAAACTACAATGTGGCTGGCTCCATAGTGTAGTGATTAGCACGTCTGCTTTACACGCAGAAGGTCCTGAGTTCGCGCCCCAAGTGGAGCCACAGATCAAACTCTGGGAGCGGCAGGCCCCCAGCGCACTGCGAGCATGTGGGAGGAGATTGCCCCGCCTTCAGAGATCTAGCCCCTAAAGGGAAAAGGTAACATCCATAGTCAGGGATGAAATTAAAGAGGAGGTTAAAACAACAACAACAACAAAAAAACTACAATGTGATATCACAACCAGGCTATTAATACTGAGACAATCCACCAACCTTATCCAGATTTCCTGTTTTATTTATATTCATTCCAGCATGATCTTTTTACAAAGCAGATCTGACCACATCAAGCCTGTAGTTACAATTTACAGCAGCTCAGCATCATCTCCAGTGGCCTCCTCGGCCCTTCCCACTCTGACCCTGACCACTTTTCCATCCTTCTCTGGGTTCCATGCCCCCAAGTGTTGTGCTTTGTAGTTACAAGTCTACCTGCCATGCCTCAAACAAGACATGCCACTTCATGGCTCTGTGACTGTATCATGTATGTGCCCCCTCCATGCAAACACATGCACTGCCAACCGTGCTTGTGGCTTTAGGGTCTGTGCTCTGGATCCCAAAGCGCTCCATGCAAACCTTTAATAGAGAACTCGTCACACCACTATCTACAATTTCTTCATCTATGTGACCCCCAGATCCCCCTTAAGACTTCTGAGAGCCCAGCTCATCCCACACCCTCACTGCCTAGCACGGCAGGCCCACGGGACTGTGAGTGAAGAGATAGTACGTGGGTGTCCAGATAAGGAAAGGAAGGTACTGTGGACATGGAACTGTGCGTGGGCAGAATCATGGAGAGGCGAGGGCTGAGGAGCCAAATGCAGGGGTGTTCACACCCTTCAGATGGGGTATGTGCCTCAATCGATATGCCATTAGGGGCTCAGTAGAAAGAGCAGGGGATGTGGCAAGTCCTTGCAAGCCTCTAGATGCAAGCCTTGGTTCTGCTGTGCCATCTCTGTGGCAAGTCCTTGAGCCGGTATCCTTACCTACCATGGGTCATAGTAAAATCCACCTCAGAGGGGTTTAAATGAGGACCGAACATTAAACAGATGAACAATCATGCTGGCACAATGCAGGTGGATCAGTGGATATTAGTGAAACCAAGTCAGCACTAAGCTTAAATCAACTGCAGGGTAATTAACTGCATAAGGCATGGCATTTAATTTATGGGTGTTCCCCCCGCCTTTTATTCTCTGGTTGACTATACAGAATGACTTAAAAGCAAATATAGAATTTTCAACCCATTAAGAAAATAATGGAAGAGTATATTATGGTCAAATGGTCTAGATGAAATATTCCATACATGTGATTTTCAAAGAAGTACAATTCCAAAACAAAACAAAAACATCAATTCTGAAACCGGCTGTCCGTAATTTCATCTTCCCATGATGATTCAGAAGACATCACAGGCCTTTACAATAACTGTGTCAGGGGCTGTGATCGCAAACACCAGTATCACTGCAGTATAGACGTGAAGAAGATGTTCCACCTGACGGACTTCAGGCCAATGGAATCAATTTTACCTAAATGGATATGTAATGCTTAATTCAACTCTTCAGTGTATGAAAAGACTATACCATTGGCACACATACTCATCTTCAAGTTTCCTTCTAAATTTGGATAAAATCTAATGTTTGACACAACATGAAAGCTGCTTCCCTGACACTCTCTCTCCCTGCTTTCAGCCAACGCCCCCATGAGGTTTCTGAAGGGCCCTGAATGAACCAGGCAAACCCTGTGGATGCATGAGCTTCTCAGTCAGAATTCTCTGTCCGATTTAGACATCGATTTATTCAACCCGTGTTAACTGCGCCCCTATTTTGTGAGTTACAGAAAGCAAGACACAGCCCTGCATTCTCATGGGGGACAGATGAGGTAGCACGGGCTAGAGAAGCTGGAAGGCGGCTGCAGAGAGTCCAAGGATGAAGACCAACCCCTAGCTGGCAGGAAGGAGTGGCCTAAAGGTAGACAACATCTGTCCCCATCCAACGTCAAAGTCACCAGTACATAGACACAGCCCACCAATCTCTTACTGATGTCCACAATGCACCTCAATGTCGGCAAATCGAGTCACATGTAGTAACTTGGCTGAGCCTCGAGAGTAACCATGTTCTAGGGAACAGGAGCCCGAAAGACGGCAGTGAGTTGTCCGGGGCACCCAGCTAATGGGACCGAAGTGAAGACAGGGCGGTGCCACACCCACAGCTGCCACCTGTGCTCCTGACGACCTGCTCTGTGCCCACGCCATGTGGCATGGTGGGAGAAGGGACTTTGGGGGACACAAAGTGGCCAACCGAGAGCATGACGCAATGGGGCATCATGGGTCAGACGAAGATGCTGAAAAACACAGAAAGAAAACGTCTGAAGAATTCACTGGTTAATTTTAGTAAAATTATACATTACTCACATTTCCAGCTCATTTTCCCGGTTCCCAGAGCTTAAAGACAGACATTGTTTTCCATGCCCCACCCCCGGGTGAATCATACGCCGGCTCCAGCGCTTCCCAGGGCATCATGTGCTCTCACGGACGGCAGACCCAAACCACACGTTTCCTGCCTGGGGGATCGGAGTCGCCTCCATTCTCGTTAAGGACGAAGTTTGCTCGTGAAAAGACAGCTGCAGCCCTGTTGGAGCCTAAAGGGCTCATGGGAGGCTGGACGCCGAGGACCTGCAGCTCAAGATGCCCTGGCCCCTCCTGGGAACTCACATTCAACCTGGGGAGGGCACTGCCACTGTCAACTGTTTTAGGAGAGAAAATGGAGAGGGGGGACAAAAGTAAAAGGTGGTTAAAAGGAAGACGCCTATTACACTTTCCTCCACGACGAAGTGTTCCAGAAAATGGGTGCCACCTGCTACTACTACTCTCCCCTCTCTGAGCTGAGAAATCAGAAGTGTCTGTGGTGTCTGGGTAAAAGTCAGCTAGATTCCAAGCAGTGAGACTGTGAAAAAATTCCACCACACGAAAAAAAAGGGGACCACATCCACTGGATTCTCATTAAAAGGAGACTGTCCAGCTCGTAGACACCAAGAGCTCTGGGTTGAAAGCAAACCTGCGGGAAGGTATTACAGTACTTGACGTGCTCGGGCCTTAACTGGATTCCATTAACCACAGATGGCTATTAACTAAACCAATGTGAGCCTGAATCTGTACGACAGGGGAAGGGATATGGGTGTGAGACATTTTAGTTAGTGCTTTCAAGGAAATATTCTGGGATCTTGGGATCCCATGGGGCCCCTGCGCTGCAGACACCTACCTGGCCACAGTCTCAGCACAGGTCCCTCGGCCCAGGTGAATGAGGCAAGGACCAGTCCCGGCTCCCCCATGCCGGCTCCCAGAACGCACAGGACATCCCTGAAGTGACAGTGGCTCTGCTGGACACCAGACCACTCCTGACCGGAGTGAAGTGAAAATCTATGGCGACGCCCTCTACGCACGAGGGTCCAAGTGGAAATAGAGTCAAAGCAGGAGCGAACCAGCAGTGGCCAGGCCGGCAGGCAGCGGGGCTCCTGAATGCCACAGCGAGGTGGAGTCCTCTCTAATTAATATTGCTAAAGCATCTTTAATTTTTAAAAGCTTCCTCAGAGAATGTACTT